ACCTGTCCTTTTTTAATATATTTTTGTATTTAGTACAGGGTCTACAGAGTCTCACTGTGTAGGTTGGACTCGTAGTGATCCTCCTGTTTTCAGCTTCCCAAGCACTGGGATCACAGGCACCTGCCACCATGCCCAGTGTCAGTTGCCACCCCGGGGCTGGGGTCTGCATGGCATGCCAGGAATTGAACCCCAGCTGCTGCGCCTTGCCTAAGCAGGTGCTTTAGTCCACTGAGCTATCTGGCTGGCCCTTGTCCTTTTTTATTTCTTAATGAGGCTTTGATTAGTAGCTCTTAATTTAAATGTTTCCAGTCAAAATTTCCCTTTATAGTTAGTACTTTTGTATCTTGTTTACAATCCTGTCTTATATTTCACATTCAAAAATGCAAACACCTATTTGTTCTAAAATTTTTAAAATTTTGCTTTTCATATTTAAGGACTTCCTTAAAACTTATTTTTATTTATATTTGGCAAACTTCCAATTTCTTTAAATATATTTATACTGTTTGCCTCAAGACCAGTTTTTTTTTTCCCTGTGTTGGAGGTTGAGCCCAGCAGGGCATATAATTGGGCAATATCCCCAGCCATTCCCAGATTTTTGTATTTGAGACAGGATCTTGTTGTATGCCCAGGCTGGCCTAGAAATTTTTATCCTCTTGTCCCAGGAGTTGCAAACATTCACTGCCATGCCCAGGAACTGTTTGATGTTAATGTCTGATTCAGTAACGCTTATTGCCTTTTTTGTCCTGTTCAGGAAATAATCTTTGCCTATCCCAAGGTTCATGAAAATACCTTATGTTTTCTAAAAGCTGTGATTTTTAGGGTTGCTTCATTGCTCTTTCAAAGAGGCAGAGAGTATGTAATTGTGTCCCTTTTTTAGGATGTTCAGTGCCCACATCTATAAATTTTGAGTTGCAAAATAATGATATTCAAATTCAATTTTTTCATTTATCATATAGCTGGCTTATTTCTACCAACAGAAATATCACTTCATGTGCTATTTGGTAATAGTAATTGCAGGAAATCAGTTCAGTGGTTCAAGGTGGGAAGGCTGGCCTACTGCCAGCTACTCATCTTAACAAAGCAGTTTTGGTCTTTTTTATATTTTAGTGTGTTAAATACGTGCAATTTGAGTATTATGCATTTTTTATTTTAACTGTGTATGATAATACTTATTGTCTTAAAGTCTGTTTCATTGGATATTTACAGAACCCTTGGTTGTTCTTTGACTAATATTGCCTTGGTGTACTTTCTTATAATCTCTACCTTTACCCATAGAAGAATTTGCTTTTGCCAGGAGCTGGTGAGTGGATACCAGCTTTAGACCATTTGAGTCTAGTTCTAGGTTCTTTTATTTCATCTCTGAACACCCACTAAGAGGTAAAGAAGAGGCCCAGCTGGAATGGGCACTTTCCCTCCTGACAACATTACCTTTTGCCAATGCTCACTGTTCAACACAAACACTTTTCTGATTCTTTTCCTTTTTATTTTTCTGGAATTTTCCTCATCCACATGATATTGGCTGTACAACAGTACTATTTTTGTGCATGATTTAGTCATTTTGTAGCAGATAGCTAGATGTTGTTTAAATTCTAATCTTTATCTTATAAATCTCACCTTTAAGTTGTGGAACAGTTTTTTAGTATTTCATAATCGTCATGCGGTGGTCATCTTTTTTTTCTTGTCTTTTATTTTTTTTTTCAAAATTTTATTGAGAAACAGATAGCAATGAGATAGTTTCAAATCAAATCGGAAGTACAGTTTCAACAAATAATGCACTGCATATATTCTTCTTAGTGGTTAATTGCTGTACAAGATGCGGACTTGAGATCCTATTTACAAACACCATTAGAACAAATCATTCTATTCATTAAGAGAATGCAACTATATATCTATCCTAACCACTTTGAATACACAGAAACAAAATGGACATTCATCTGTATACTTTTTTTTTTTTGTATACCTTTTTTTGTTAAGTCTTGTTACTTGAATATTATAGGTGTGTAAACTCAGCAAAATATTCTAAAAGAGTCCAGTAGCCCATAATAGCATTAGGTCTTCTGTTTAACTGGCAACGTCAGAAATTATTGACCTGAGTCCCCCACAGCTCAACATAACAACATGGCTTTACTTCTTATATTTCGTCTTCATACTTTTCTACTGGATGGTTAAGACCAAGGTAAAGCAGAACCTGTGCAACAAGAATTGTAGCTTTTTGGTCTGAGAAGGTCAGTGAAATGCCCTCAGGATTTATCCTGAGATCCTGTACCTCAGATTGTAGAACCTTTGTCAGTGCAGCCATGTGGATGAGTCACGGCCATTGCTTGGCCAATGTGCTCTCTGTGAAAGCCTGAGAGAGTGTCTTCTCCCCATGTGACTCTCCTTAGGCACACTCTACATCATCGATCACTTTCCTTTTTGGACCCATAATCTTCTTGATCAGAATATTTGGGACATTACCAAGTTACATGACGTTACAGTACAAGTTCTCATATGTCCTGAGTCTTAATTGACCTTAGAAGGTTAGGGCCAAAATGTTGGCTTTCCTTGTAGCCCTCCTTTTTCTCTAATTTTGGTCTGCAAACTTAGGTTTTTAACCATCCAGTTTCTTGTCTTTTAGAGGTGGGGTCTTGCTATGCATTTCAGGCTCGCCTTTAATTCACTTTATAGCCCATGCTGGCCTTGAACTCGCAGTAATTTTCCTGCTTCAGCCTCACAATTGCTGGGATAACAGGCATGTGCCACCATGCCCAACAGTCATCTTTTTCTGTTAATTAATCATCAACTTTTTTCTAGTTTTTGTAACTGACACATAATAACACATATCTATGGAGTATAATGTGGTATTTCAGTACATGTATACAAAATATAATGATCAAATAAAGGTTTTAGCATTCTCATCTGTTTTTTGCAGTACTGAGGATCAAACTCAGGACCTTACACTTGCCAGGCAATGCTTATGCCACTTGAGCTATCTCCACAGCCCTCATGTTTTTGTTTGAAGGCTTCAAGCTCCTATGTTCTAGTTTATCATAAAATATAAATATTATAAACTGTAATCACTACTGTGTTATGGACCACTAGAACTTATTACCTCTATATAACTGTTTTGGTACCAATTATTCAACCTTTTGTTCTCTCCTCTTTCTTCCCTTCCTGTCACTATTCACTGTATATGTGGATTATGTATGTAAAAACTTTAATTTGGTAGAACTGTGTTTTTTTTTAGTTTTTTGAAGAACCTTCATATTGATTTTCATGGTAGTTGTACTAGTTTAGATTCTTACCAGCAGAGTGGAGTGGTTCCTTTTCCCTTGCATTCTTGTCAGCATCTATTGCTTTTTCTATTGATGTTGATAGCCATTCTGACCAGAGTGTGATGGAATCTCAGTGTGGTTTTTTTTTTGTATTTAGTACAGGGTCCACAGGGTCTCACTATGTAGATCAGACTCATAGTGATTGTCCTGTTTTATAGCCTCCCAAGGGCTGAGATTACCGGCATTCAGGTCCAGGGATCGAACCCCTCACCCCTGCATCTGTCTAAGCAGGCACTTTAATCCACTGAGTTATTTGGCTGGCCCTTCAGTATATTTTTGATTTACATTTCCCTGCTGATTAATATTTTGAGGCTTTTTTCATGTAAATATTAGTCATTTGTGTTTCTTTTTAGAAATTCCTTTAGTTAACCAACCCCTCTGTTTAGTAATCAGATTATTTGATCATTTTTTTTTGTCTTGTGTATTTGTATGTGAGACATGTACGTGTGTACTACTAGAGATTGAATCTAGGGCCTTTGCACTAAGCTAAAGGAATACAAAGAAAATGCAGAACTAGTTAGAGTGTAGAGTGTGTCCCAGTATTTTTGTCTGTAAAATGCTAAGTGCCTCTTATTCATAGACTAAAAGGTCAGCTAAGCTAAACCCTAGCCTTTATCTTTTTCTTTTTAATTAATTGATTAATTAATTATTTTTTAATGTATTTGGTACAGGGTCTCACTATGCAGTTTAGACTCATAGTGATCCTCCTGTTTCAGCCTCCCTAGCGCTGGGATTACAGGTGTGTACCACCACATCCAGTCTTGATGGCCGGCTTGGCTTGACCAGGGTGGGGCTGGCATGGAATGTGGTACTGGGGATTGAACCCAGGTCCTTTTGCTTGTGTAGGCAGGTACTTAGACTGCTGTTCTGTCTTCATGACCCTAATTTTTTAAATTTTGAGACAGGGTCTCACAGAGTTGCCCAGGCAGGGCCTCAACTTGCAGTTCTCCTGCCTCAGCCTCCCCAAGTGCTGGGATTACAGATACACGCCTGGCTGTGTTCTTTATATATTCTTGAGATTAATCCTCTGTCAGAAGAGTAGCCGGCAAACATTTTCCAATTCAGTGGGCTGTTAATTGGTGTTTTTTTTTTTTTTTTTTTTTTTTTTTTGCAGTACCAGGGATTGAACTCAGGACCTTGCGCTTGCCAGGCAAGCATTTATTCTACTAATCTATCTCCCAGGCCCTGGGTTATTAATTGTTTGCTGTACTATGTAGAAACTTTAATTTGGTAGAACTGCATTTATTGGTCCTCGACATCATTTCCTACGACACTGGTGTTCTTTGCAGCAAGTCTTCTCCTATGCCTATGACTTCATGTGTGCTGCTTTCATCATTGCTCTTTTGGGTCCGGATTGCTTTGGCTGCTTGGGATCTCTTGAACTTGCATATGAATTTAAGATTTTCTTTTGATTCTGTGAAGAATTTCATTAATATTTTGACATGGATTTTATTAGCTTTTTAGATACTGTTATTTTCCATGTATTTGTGTCATATCTAAAATATTATAAATATTTAAGAAAGTAAACTTTATGAATTTACATACAAAATCAGACTTTTTAAAATTTGTGAATCGTGCTAAAGAGAACCTGACACTTGAAAATGCAAAACACCCTAGTGAGAGTGTAGAGTGTGTCCCAGTATTTTTGTCTGTAAAATACTAAGTGCCTCTTTTTCTTATTCATAGACTAAAAGGTCAGATTCCTGAAATCAAACAGACTTTGGAAATTCTAAAATACATGCAGAAGAAAAAAGTAAGTGCATTTTTGTTTGTAAATTGGAGCAGACCAGAATACTTCGGTGGACTTGTCTTCCTTGACTCATTGGTTGCTGGTATTTAATCTATGCTGTATGACGCAGTCTGACTTCTTGAGCCATGTACACTAATGTTGCAAAGTGCTTCTGTAAAAATGAGGCTTTGTTGCCTTTCCCTAAAAGACATTCTAAGGCCCACACTTCAGTTGTGTTACTTATGTGTAGTGTTTGTAAAGCTTAAATGCAATTAGGGATTGTTTTAGGTACAAAGAGAGAATATTTTGAAGTAGCAAGCATCTAGAGATTTTTGTTGGTTATTGTCAAACCCCCTAAGAATTAGGAGTAAGTCTAAGATTTATAGAGCTGGGGCTGGGGAGATGGCTCAGTGGAATAAGCACTTCTCTGGCAAGTACAAGGGCCTGAGTTCAATCCCTGGTTCCGCAAAAAAAGAAAAAAAAAGATTTATAGAGCTGGAAAAAATCTTAAGGCTAGCGTGTTTCAGGTTCTAATTTCATAGTTCAATAAATAATTAGAGAGGTTAGTTAACATTTGACCAATATCACATAGCTAGTTAAATTCTTATATAGCACTTACATAATTTGCATATAGTGCTTTGTGAGTTAGGCACTGTCTGTGTATGTGTTAGTGAACTCAGTATTTACCAGTGTCTTGATAGATGCACAGATTGGTTTTGTTTTACTTTTGAGACAGGGTCTCACTGTGTAGTTCAGGGTGATCTTGAATTCACTATGTATCTGAGGCTGACAATCTTCTTGCCTCAACCTCCTGAGTACTGGGATTACAGGGGTGTGCGAGCATACCCAGCTCTATTATTCTTATTTTATAGATGAGGAACCTGAGACTTGGAGAGGTTAAATGATCCTTGGAGAGATTAAATGATCCAAATTTATATTCCTGGCTATCTGGTAGTAGTGTTCATTTCTTTTCCAGCTGTACTTAGTCTGCATGATGGTACCGTTTTAAATATCTCAGGTTCAGCTGTGGAATCTGTCTTTTATAATCTTAATATAAACTGGCCTGTTTCTGGTACTGTCATTTTTTTTTAAAGGAGTCCACCACTTCACTGGAAACCAGATTCTTGCTGGCAGATAACCTGTACTGCAAAGCTTCGGTTCCTCCTACTGATAAAGTGTGTTTGTGGTTGGGGGTAAGTAAATGTTATTTGACATTCTGTGATATTTTGCCCAGCAAAAAAGTGTTGCTTGAGCTGTGTGATGTGTTAATCTCCCATTCATTGTAGAATGAATGAAAACACAAAATTATAGCTGTCTCTATGAGAAACTGACTAGAATTAAGAACATGGTGATGATAACAGCAAAAACATGCTGAAGTCTCCTAATCAAGACAAAACTGACCAAACTCTACTTCTTCCCCAACTTACGTCTTATCTCTGTTAAAGGAGGGCAATAGAAGTAAAATAGAAAGTACTGCTGAACTTAGTTTCTTCTTTGAAAGAGCTTAAGTTCTAGAAAGAACCCTTTGAATTTAAGGGGAAATATTATGAAAACTTTGAGGTTAGCATCCATTAAAAAGAAAACCTACAACTTTCAATTTAGGATCATTGTAAACCTTATCTATGATTTTTCTTTTTTGCTCCTTTTAGACCTTGGTTGTCTAGCTAGCTCTCCACAGGTCTTATTACCTTCACCAAGTCCCCATATGCAGCAGCAAGACATACTCTACCCTTACTGCTGTCCTGTGAAATTTTCCCTGAGAAGTGTTCTAGTGCTGTGACACATGGGCTGATTTGCATGGGGAAATTCACTTCTCTTTCCTTAGTTCATCCCCCTGATTTTGTTCCTTGTAATATTTTCAGAGTTTGTATAAACCTTAATTCCCATTCTTGTTTTTGTCTTAGTTCTATATGTAAAAAATAGGATGTTATTGCTAAGGTTTACTTTAGTCCCTTGAAGCATAGAAATTTCACCTGAATATGTGTTGAATGGCTATCGGTGTTTTTTTTTTATAGAAATTGCATGAGCTTTTTTTTGGTTCACAAAATATTCCACATTATCTGTTATACACTTAGGGATGGTTCATAAACTAAAGTATTAGTTAATTAATGAATTAATTTTTGTGGTGCTGGGGATTGAACCCAGGTCCTGTGCACTGAGCTACATATGCAGCACTTTATTACTATTTTTATTTTGTGACAAGGTCTTGATAAGTTGTATGTGCTAGATATATATGATCTTGTGATCCTCCAGCCTTAGCCTCCCAGAATGCTGAGATTATAGGCATGTTGCACCCATATCCAACTCAGGAAACATGTGTGTGTGTGTGTGTGTGTGTGTGTGTGTGTAGGATGTAATTTTGCACCTAGTTTTTTAGTTAACATTTAAAAAATCTATTTATTTATTTTGTACAAGGTGTTGCTGTGCAGCTCAGACTTGTAGTGATCCTCCTGTCTCAGTCTCCTTAGTGCTGGGGTTACAGACAAGCACCACCTTGCCCGGTTTCAGTGGCTGACACAGTATGCCTGGGGTTCTGGGGCCAGCACAGCATGTGGCACCAGGGATTAAACCCAGGTCCTTGTGCTTGCCAGGCCGCACTTAGGCCATTGAGGTATCTCCCCAGCCCCTCTGTTAACATTTTTAGGAATAATACATACACATATGTTTGATCTTTGTTTTCAGTATCTATGGTCTTCCTTGTTTTCAGGTATTAGGTCTTTTTCATTTTCTTATGATTTCATATGGCTTATTCTCTTTGACCTTGTATTTTCTCTTAGAGTTATTCTGCTTTATTTTGTTTCCTTGCTGAATTCTTCTATTTCTTGACATCTTTTTGTTTTGTTTTATTCTATATTTCTTTTTTTTATTTTTTTGGTGGAACCAAGGATTGAACTCAGGCCCTTGTGCTTGCCAGGGAAACGCTTACTTACTGAGCCATTTCCCTGGAATGTTTGAATCCAGATTTCTTCTATAGACCAGCATTTGCCAGTCGTCGTCTTCTTCTTTTTTTTTTTTTTTTTTTGTATTTTAGGGAAGGGTCTATAGGGTGTTCAAGGTCTCACTACTAGATTGGACTCGTAGTGATCCACCTGTGTTCGGCCTCCCAGGAGCTGGGATTACAGGTGTAATCCACCACACCCAGTCTCAATTGCCAGTATCAGCATGCCCCGGGGTTGGGGCCAGCATGGCAGGCCTGGGGATGGAACCCCTGGCCCCTGCGCCTGCTTGCAGGCACATTAATCCACTGAGCTATTTGGTCTGCCCTTTGCCACAGGTTTATTGAGGAGAATATTTTGTCCTGATACTTGTTGTTTAGTTGGTATATGATGAACAAAGTAGAACTTGTTGGTGTCAATAGCCTCATGACTTGCTACCCTTTCCAGCCAAAACAATTGGTTTGATATTTATTGTACCTTTCAAAACCAATTAACTGCAAATACCAAGGTGCAATTGTACAACAAACTAGATGGCTTTTTTCCCCCCTATGACTCTTAGTTTTTTGTTTTTGTTTTTGCGGAACCGGGGATTGAACTCAGGCCCTTGTGCTTGCCAGGGAAGCGCTTTATTTCACTGAGCCATCTCCCTGGCCCCTTCCTCTTGGTTTTTTATTTTATTAACACATGCTCACTGTCCCCTAGATTTATCATGGGGAGTTTGAACAAATACATAACACATTTTTATTGTTGCTTAGATGGCTTTTTTGAGTTTTAAAAGTCTTTATCTTTTAAGTTAATGTGTACATTACAGGAAACAAAATCAAAGAACAAAGTCATTCACAGTCATAAGCAGCTTAGCTGGATGTGTTTTTCTAGGTCTCATGTGTACATATAGGACATGCCATTTTGTGTGACTGAGTTTGTACAGTGTGCCTCATGCTTTTACACACGTCATGACTATTCACCAGCTTGAAATCCCAAAGCTACAAGACTTATTTTGATAACAATATACTACACCAACTCAGTCTGTTAGAAACAAGTTATTAGTCCTGCCTTTCTTAGGAACAAAAATTTCACTCAAGATAAAAATGGCAACAGGCCTCTAGCCAGCTTCCTGTAACTTTTATGGGCAAAGTTACAATTACAGTACTACATTTAGATGGCTTTAACAAAAATTGGTTGTCTGTGGCTTTAGAAGCCACAAGTGTGAGATCAACCCAGGGATCAGTGTTAATTCCTTCTGAGGGTTGTCAGGGAAAATCTGCTCCAGTCCTTTCACTTAGCCTCTGGTGTTTGCTAACAGTCTTTGTCATGTTTTTGATGTATAGATGTTTCACTGATTTCTGCCTTCGTCTTAACATGTGACATGTATATCAAAATTTCCCCTTTTTATAAGGCCGCCAGCTACACTAGATTATAATCTATCCTTATGATCTCATTTTATTTTATTTTATTTTGGTGGAACTGGGGATTGAACTCGGGCCCCTGTGCTTGCCAGGCAAGCATTTATTCTACTCAGCCATCTCCCCCACCCCCAATGATCTCATTTTAACTTCATTACCTTTGTAATGACTATCTCCAGATAAGCTCACATTCTGAGGTACTCAAGGTGCACAATTTCTGCGCATTTTTGGTGAGGAGACACAGTTCATTCTGTAAAACTTTATTCAACATAATCTTGTACTCACATGCACCCAGGGTTAGGGCTTCAATGTATCTTTTAGTGGGCATAGTTCAGCTCATTATATAACATGCTAATTCACTTTTTTGCTTCTGCCTTTATTTTCCTAAAGCCTTTCCAGCACAGCAGGCAGAATGATACATTAAAATCTTTTCATTAGTCTGTCCAAAATTTTCTAATGATTTCTTATTTCATTCCGAGGAAAATCGTGAGTTGTCTGACAAGCTCCTACACAGCCTGTTATTCTCTGATATTTACCTTAACTAATGCTTTCCTTATTGGCTACACACAAAGGATTTCTTACTGGGCCTAGACCATGCTGGAAATGGCTCTACTGCAGAGCCTTTATTCTGGCTCTTTCCTTGCTTGAGCTGCTAGAATAATATTTTTTCATCTTTTATTTATTTAGTACAGGGTCTCTCCATGCAGCTTGTACTCGTAGTGATCTTCCTATCTCAGCCTCCCCAGTGCTGGGATTACAGGAGTGTGCCATCATGCCCAGTTTTGGTGGCCAGCATGGTGCGTCTGGGCAGTCCAGTCAGGTGCTTAGACTGTTGAGCTATTTCCCCAGCTCCAAGAATAATATTTTTTAAACATGTTAGATCATATCACTTTTCTGCTCAGGATACCAGTAGTTTCTCCTGTCACAGCCTCATTTCTTCATTCACAGCACCTGACATTTCACTCGGAATCACGTAGCTTTTTTTGTGAGTAGGCATGGAAATACTTTGGCTTTGTTGGCTTCTTAATATTCTGTGCTAGTGTTGTTATTTTTATCATGTTTCTTATATAGTGAATAGTGCTGTAGCAAGTATGTTTGCGCATATAAATGTATAAACAAAGACATTTTTGAATGTCTCTTAGAGATGGAATTGTTGGGTCTAAGAATAAATGTGTACCATATTTAATATTTTAATAGATATATCAATTTTTTTTTCCAAAATGACTACCAATTTATATTTCTTGAACAGTACATAAAAACATTCTTTTATTAGCTGGATGTGGTGGTGCACACCTGTAGTCGCAGCTCTTGGGAGGCTGAGGCAGGCAGATTCCTGTGAGTCCCAGGCCAGCCTAGAGTACATAGTGAGTTCAAAGCCTCCCTGCAGTACATAACAAGATACTGGCTCAAGTAAAAGGAAGGGCTGGGGAGATAGGTCAGTGGGATAAGCACTTGCCTGGCAAGCACAAGGTCCTGAGTTTAATTCCCAGTACCACCAAAAAAGCATAAAAAACAAATCAAGTAAAAGGAAAATAAATATATACTTTTATTGATCACCTCACCCACATTTTTAGAATGTTGCTAGTTTTGTAGGTACAAATGGCATCTTACTGTTCTTGTTTGACACAGTGCTCATTTATATTTCTCTTTCTGTTTGCCTGCCTAATGTCCATGGCCCATTTTTGTGTTGGATGTTTTTGTTCTTTATTTTTCTTTATAGATTACATATCTGGGTGCAGTGTATATATTACTTGTTGCATATTTTGATATGTTAATTTGTGTTTTGTTTTTGATACTTAAAGAGAAGTTTTAAGTTTTATTGTAGTCAGTTTATCAGCTACCTAAACTTTTATT